TTTTTGATTTTAACGCTGATAATTTGTCATGAAATTTATTTTTATTATTAGTTTTGTATTTTTATATTTAGCTTCATTTTATTTTTTATTTCAGTTTAAATTCAGTACTTTCAGTTCTTCTAATTCAACTTATTTTATTTTATTTAGTTACCAATGCAATATTTCTCATTTTTATTTACCTTTTTTTTGCTTTCAGCCAATATTTATATTTTATTTCAGATTTATTTAAACTGTAATAGTTTAGTTAACAATAACAACACTACTGATATGGTACAGAAATATTGAGCAATATGCTGGTCCATCAGCTTGACCAACACTAACCAGCATAAACCAACCTTGAATCACCAACACTTAATGTGGTCTTTTCAGTGAGCTATGCATATATTTATTTTTGGGGGGAGAAATGCTTCCCAAAACAGCTGTATGCGAGTCAGTAGGGATACCTGAGGGCCCAAAACTCTCTTCCTCCTCCTCTTCGTATTCCTCTAGCAGATTCTCTTCAGAGTCTTTGTCTAAGAAGCTGAGCTGGGTGTGGAAGGAGGTGGTGAGGAATGAGGAGAGGTTTGCCATCTGCACCCTAAAGAGCAAAGGCATTTGTGGTGTCAAATAAATCATCTTTGTGCCTTAAAAATCATACTATGGCTCTTTTAATTATTACTGTCACAATTTTTCTGACCTTGCGCCTGCAAAGTAGCCATCTTGAAGCTTCCGGAGGGTAGAGAGGATACAGGGGTCAATACTGTCGCTATCCTCAACTAGCCCAATAACAGAAACAAAGAAAATGTTAATATTAGCCTGTGCATATTACAATATGTTCAGACGGTACCATCGAACGAAAGGTTTTACCCAGCATGCTCTGTGTGATAGGGAATGTGAGGGTAGGTCTTCCAGTCATCCGCCAGCAGGATGAGAGATAAGCAAGCTCTGTACGCAACATCTCCACAATCATCTGGTTATCCAGAGCCAAGTAGAAGTGATGCTGGTCAATGAACTATGGGAAAAATATATATTGTTATAATGTTTTTTACATTTTTTATTTTTTTGTAGTCTGACTGTAGAGTAGTTCTTCTACTATAAAATACTTGCATGTGAGGTCATTTTTATTTACCTGTGGAGTGAATGTGTAAGTACCATTTCTGATCTCATAAAACTTTGAAGTTCCCAAGACACCGATGTGCCTGTATGGTCGCCCACTCAGATCCAGTTTTTTACAGTTACCTGTGCAATGGAAAAAGGAACTGGTTTGAATTAAATTTTGTATCCAAGAATCTTAAAGACTTTCTACTAAATGCAGTTTTA